TGATACACAAATCTGAACTCGCCTTTTCTGCATTGTGGTCTGAATAGTCATATGGTGAGGGCTGATTCATTGTGTCTCACAAAGGGGCAACATCTCTTATGGCTGTGATTTTTTGTTTTTAAATATATCTATTAAATTCCCCTGCAATTTTTCATATATATCAGCAGCTGTTTTACTGGATGAAATTATCTCTTAAAGTTGATGAGGTGCAAGTATACTTTTGATGCAATCCAATCCAGAAAATCATAAGGAAGGGTTTCTTTTATATACTGCATGTTGCTGCTGGGGTCATAGTTGAAAGACAACTGGTAACATTGTTCTCCATCTATCAGCAGTATAAAAGCTGGGAATTGCCAAGGCAGCATTTCTGAAAAAGGCAAGCTTCACATTGTTGCCATGTTGTAACCCATGCCTGATAATAAAGCAATGCCATCAAAACAGCATATTGTTCTCTGCAGTCCTTCATTCAAACTTACTTCACCCTGTTTATGGGTTTTGATACACACTTGTATCAATACACATCCAGTTATTTCTTTTAAGAACGACACAGCCAAAGTTCCAGTGTACAAATGTACACTTCCCAGGCACAGCAACTTGTTTATCCCCTGGTTGGAAGTGGGGGACGTATAACTTATTTACGGTCTAAGAGGAGGCCAGTGTGTCACCTTATGAAAGCTTGTGCTTTGTCCCTCTTGATTTCTAATGCTAAAAGCACAGGACTGTGGGAAACTCCCACATAAGCCTCACGGCATACAGCAGGCATACATACAGCCTGTATCTTTGGCACTCATATAGTCCATAACCCTCCCCTCTTTTTCAAGACTCTTTGGGAACCCGTCTGCTCAAAATTGGTAACGTGCTTTCCTGCCGCAGAGGAAAAAATATATACAAAAACGGTAAGCTCCAAAATTGGGTTAAAGCAGTAAAAGAGAAAGATCTCCCCCCTTCAAAAAAAAACCACCCCACCCCAGGAAAAATAACCCTGGAAACCCACCCATGCAATGCAGCCTATTAATATTAAAACATGGTCTATTCCCACCTTTTTCACTATTTAAATGAAGAAGTTACAATGACCAGGGTAAAGTTGAGAGAAAATAACCACCAACTTTCCAGAAGCATCAGGAGAAAGCTTTTTCATACTATGCTAAAACTGTTCATATCAGTGGAATAAATGTTATAATTCCAATCCAGTTAAAGAGACAAGAACAAAATTATTAGAAAGGTAGAAAAATTTGATAGCCAGATCAGTTTTTTTCTTCTTTGTGTCTTATTCTCACTAGGACACAATCTGTGCGTCAGGGAAGTTCTAAACTGCGGTGCTTGCTTTCCCTTCTTTCCTGCATGTCATCTGTTTCCTTCCTAAATGCTGTGTGATTTTTGAATTTGGGGAAATGTCTATTGAGCTGGAGCTCGCACTTAAAAAAAAACCTGACTGTATGAACATTTGGAAATTTCCCACATATTGTACATATGAGCAGTCACTAGAATTGTTCATTCTCCACACAGCTATAGTTATAGAACTGAGGTAGCCCTATTACCTTTCTGAGTAAGTTCACAAATAACATTAAGCCATGGTTTGTAACCCATGGTTTATTGAATTGCGTGGGGGGTTATATGAAACATGCTAAGCCATAAACCACAATTCACAAATTAGAAAGGTTGGCTTCATAAAATATTTTGTTCATTAGAAGTATATTTTTTAAAAAAAAACATTTCATTTGAAGAAATGCATTTCTTAACCTGTGAGTGAGCCAGAACTCCCAGGTTAAGGAATGCGTGCCAAACAAATGATCCTCTTCACAATGGCTTCACCTTTAGACTGGTTTGGTAATGGGAGAGGCAGCCCTTCACATATGCAGAACCCGGTTCTTTGGGAGGAAATGATATGAAGTAAATTACACTATGCATAGTGCAAAATAACTATCTGCTTGGGTAACTCTATGCATATCACAACCACTTTTCAATACATGAACTTCTGTTGTTCCACCTGTATAAATTATAAGTTTGAACCCTACGCATACATTTTTAACAATATGGAATCATAATAGTGCTGTGATTTCTGGACCTAGTGCTTCCCTGAGATTAGGTTTCTCTAATCTGAAGCCTTTCAAGGGGTGTTGAATTTCATTTCATTTCAGAGGTGTTGAATTGCAGTCCCATAATTCTCAGGCAGATAGGCCATACATTTCAACTTTATTCATATTTTGCAGTGCTACTATTTTTAAAAAATATGGTTTATTGAATAAGGGTCAGTGGTTGGGCTCACACAATATACTACACTACACTCAATTTTGGCTTAATTCAAGGATGCAGTCCCTGAATCTTTTTGCTTGGCTCCTATAGTTGCCTTTGACTGTGAATTTTGAAAATCCAAAGTATGGTTTTTCTAACATCTTTCCCCACAGCTGTTGTGCAATCTTTCCACATAAACTAAAGAAAGACTTGAAAATCTGATCAAAAGCCCAGGGGAAAAAAAGAAAAGAAAACTTGGTCTTACCCAATTTGAACAATTAAACTTGTGTGTGAATTAGGAAAAAAATATGAATGGGATGACTCCCACAGACTCCTTCCTCCCCTAGTAGTTTCATGTCAACTTTCCCCCATGACCGTTTTGTGCATAAAAAACAAGATTGTTTGGGACTGGGTAGAACAGTTTATCCATGGGCATGCTAAGTCTATCAGGAGGTTCATCAGTCTGTCTAACTTTTGACATTTACCAATGAGATTTAGATCTAAATTGGTCAGTAATGTATAGTGAGCTGACCAGGATTTAGGTTGCAGTTGTATGTGAAATATTTTCAGAAGTCTACCAGTCTTCACTCTCAAAGTATTTGGGCTATAACTGTTTTTTTTTTTCAGAGCTACTGACTATGAGGCAATTCTAGCCCAACACACCCAGAACTCTAGAGAAAGCTGGTCTAGGTAGGATAAGGTAGGGGTTGTTCCAAATTACTCATGTACATGTAGTTAGTAATTCTTGCCTTGTGCCAGGGCAGTACTTCTCCATTTAATATACAATTTAGTTTAGGGTATATCGAGCAGATATTTCATATATCATTAACTACAGAGGGTAGAGTTTGAATCTCAGATTTATGTCATCCAAAACAGATACTCAACGAGTGAACTTAGCTCCTTCTCCCTATCCCTGTCCTTGGATGTACATGACTGGTGTCGAGTCTTCTGTGAAATTCATCCAAGTTCAAAGTGAAACAGGAAAGGGCTAGAGGAAGAGCTGATTGAAAATAATAATATCTGAAAGCAAGCTAGGGAACAGAGGAGGCCAGAAGGTCAGGAGGCAGATGATATCAGGAGGAAGTAAAGCAGAAAACAAGGCCAGCATGATAAAGAGCAACATCTTATATGAAGGCTTTTATAGAAAATAGGAGTGAGCAACTAAGAGAGGGATAATGGTTTGTGGGAAAAGACAGATGACATGTATTTATCTTTTATTTATTTGACTTGGATGCTGAATAGTAGTTACTAGCCTACTAAACCCCTCATGCTAGTGTGGATCACATAGGCTTGTGATATAACAAAGATATTTTACAACTGTAAAACTATACACCCTAGTATAACAATGTTGTCTTTAGCTATCAGGAGTGTATGCTGAAATAAATTGTATGATTGGACTTGAAAGTGCCTTAAGAACACTCTGGCTGGCAGGTGTTGCTACCCTTATAGTCTTAATGCAAGACAGTTAAAAGCAGCAATTGGTGGATTCCTCTGGCTGCATTTCTCTTCCTTCTTAGCCTCACCTGCCATTAGGAAAAACAACTGCTCATTGTTGTTCTTACTACAAGGCGGATTGAATTCGAGTAACTAAGGGCAAATGCCTGGGATGGAGGCATTAGCTGTTTTTCAAGTTGTTAAATGACTGGCTGTCAGTACAGAGAATTTCTGGATGGTTAACCTGCCCTCAGGCTAATGTATTACTCAACACAGAACTCTTATTCTTCTGAGCATTTAAACCCATGCACCAAAATAGTCCGACAGGTTATTTGAAGAGTTTGAATATTAAGATTGTTGGGGTAAGAGGAATGAATATAAAGATGGTTGATTTGACCAAAATTAAATTAAACGGATATTTCTGGAAATTTTTAATGGATTTTTTTAACCAGGACTGGATGATGATATTTTAAGATTTTGTTTATTTGCTATATTTCAAATTTTTCTGATTAAAATTAAAATAGCTATGTTGTTATCTCTGATCATTTTTCTTGGTTTTTTACTGAGTAAATTTGGATGATGAAATTTGTAGGATTTGTTTAATGATAAAAAGTGAGATATAAATGTAAAACAAAGGAATAAAATGGGCTCATTAAATCAAATTTATAATACATAGGTTGTTATTTCAGGTAACTGAATGGATTTTTTTTCCTGATTATAATGGAAGTTGAGGTTTTAAAGACTTGTTTATAGAAAATCGGATGAGATTATTTATTTATTTATTTATCATTCAAAGTTATTGGCCACCCATTTTATCACAGCATAACTCTGGATATTAATAATAATATTAGAATATTAAAAATAAAACTATATAAATAGAATGCTACAAAACAATAAAAATACAAATATAAAATATGATAGCTAAAAGATGGGGAGAGGGGAATTGATGTGAGATGAAGAGGTTGTTTATTTGTATTTTAAGAGATGATAATGTTGTTACAGATGCTTATACTTTCTGGAAGGATAATGGGGAGTTTTTTCTTTTAATTTTTTTCCTTTCTTTTTTGCACTTCTTTTTTATATTTTGTATTATCTGTGTATTGCAATCTTTAATAAAATAAAAATACCGAGGCATTGTTATGCTATGATTAGCGGGATGTGGAAATACATTTCGTGTTCCACAAAAGAGTAGCTGGTATAAGTCTTTGCATGATTTCTGGAATGAGCTGGTGTTCTTGCGTTTCTGCAACCGTTACCTGCTTTTTTCAGTTTGTAACATGTTGGCATTGCTGTCCTAATCTGGATTTTGTATCTCTTTATTGCAGATTCCAAAGATGGAGACAGGCTCCCTGGTGCGAGCTGTCTTTGATTTCTGCCCCAGCGTATCTGAGGAGCTACCACTGTTTGTGGGGGACATCATTGAAGTGCTGGCAGTCATAGATGAGTTCTGGCTCTTTGGGAAGAAGGAAGGAGTCACAGGTACATCTGAAAGGTCTTTGGGTCAGTTCATGAAGTTGGTTGTGTCAGAACCCAAAGGTGCTTTTCAAAAGCAACTGGGCTTCCTTTGCTTTTTCTTGACAATGTTTCGCCTCTCATCCAAGAACTTCTTCGATTCTGAGTGAATGATGGGGAATGGAAGGATTTATGTTCTTTGCAGTCAAAGGATAAAAAATCCTTCCGTTCCCCATCATTTAGTCAGAACCGAAGAAGTTCTTGGATGAGAATGAAACATTTTCATCATCATCAACAACAACAAAAGTCCAATTGCCTTTTGACTTGGATGACTGAGAATCTCCATGGACGGTTAGGGTAGAAGTGCTAGAGGAGCTGAACAAGTAAAGCTAAGTAAATAAAAGGAAATTTCATCATAAATAAAGATTTAAAAACTCTTAAGCCTTTACTACTATTTAGCAGTTGAAAGATCAATTATTCTTTTATGAAAAATTAGAAAAAGATGGGATTGGATGCATATGAGCACCACTCCAATGCCCTTTCTACCTAATGGTTAGTGGTAACTTTTCCTGTGGTTTTGGAACTAGAACTGAACTTCCAGTCAAGGAAACCATCATTTTCTGCTCTTAACAGTGTCACATGGTAGATCTCTGCAACCAGCAATGCAGCACAGCCCCATACTGGCATGCCTGAAAGGTATGCTGCACAATTTCTGCTGACATAAAAGTCTTTTTGGTTCTAGGACAAGAGGAAAGCTCAGCAAATGGCTATATGGATGAGACCACCATTTTTTGTGGAGCTATTCAGGAGACATTTTTATCCCCTCCCTCCCCCAGCCCTTTTGAAGGGGTATTTTGGTTTCTTGATCTAATACTTTTTGGCATTTCTGTAAATCTTTAGGTTCCCACACACTTCCTGATATCTCTCTGTTGTACTGTTTGGTCTTGAAATTAGAGAAATGAGATAGCTATTAATATATCAGCAGCTTGCTTCTCTTTTTCTTTTATAATTCTTTGTTTTCTTAACCAGTCAAGTGGCATATAATTCTCAATATACTCAGTATATGGGATCAGGGTAGCCACAATACCCTGAACAATTTGGGATAGTTTTTAGGGCAGTACCTGTTTTGAAAATTAGCAAAATGACCCGAGACACAGTATCTCTCTCTCTCTTTCATTGAAACTGCCCTTCTTTCTCTGTGCAAACCTGAAAGAATATTATCAGATTTATCTTATGGGATCATTAAAGGGCATGGCTACTTAAAAAGGTGGGTATAAGTTGTATCAGAATTTTAAAATATATGCGTATTATATTTCTAATAAAGGAGAATATTTGTAGCTCAGGACTGAAATGAGGGGTCCTTGATGCTCTCTGAGCTTGCTTGTTTTCTTGCAGACGTTTCATTACCCATCTAGGTAACATAATCCATCAATGCACTGGACCCCACATATATTTCTGTTAGACTTTGCAGTAGCCTTCCTCAACCTGTTGTCTTTCAAATATGTTGTTGCTATCGGTTATGGTATTGGTAACTGAGAAATCAGGAAGTTGAGGAAGGCTGCCTGGATCTTCATTTGTACTGATAAATGAGAATATTTGTAGTTTAGGGTTGAAATGAGGGGTCCTTGGTGCTCTCTGAGCTTGGCTGTTTTCTTGCAGAAATTTCATTGCCCAAACTAGGTAACATCAGAAATACTAGTGAAGTTACCTAGTTTGGGTAATGAAATATCTGCAAGAAAACAACCAAACTCAGAGAGAACCAAATCCTCCTCATCTTCATATGTAGTATATTCTGATGGGATATCGTAAAATATTTGACTTGTCCACTTTAGCTTCTTTTTTAACCAACTTGCTGTTAACTTCATGAAATAGTGAGCATGTACACAGATTCAGCAACAGTACTCATTAATGGATGCATACATTTTTACCTATACAAGAATTCTGAAATGTCAGCATCCTTTTTTGAGTCCTTTTTCTTTGATTGTCAGTATTCCTGTTAGGCCCCAAGAACCAAGAAAAACAAAGTGTTACTTCTGAATAGTTTCCTTTATTGTTCTTCACACAATCTTCCCAGACTGTACATTGTGATGCAAGCTTATTGTATTTGCATCATGATGTTATAAGAAAATAAGTTAGTAACAGAGTTTTCCTTGTGACACCACAAGACATATTTTACTAATTTGATGAAATCACAGCTTGGGGCAGATGCCTCTGGTTTATTGCTTTGAAAAGATGGAAGAATCGAATTATGGAAATTAATCCTTAAATATGGAGATAATCCTAAAATGGTAATGTTGTGTTATTTTGATTTTTGATGTAAAACAATTGTTTTATCATAAAATGTAAATTATAAAAATTATTTACAAAAATATGGGTATACAGATATTTATATTATGAAATAGAAATTCACAATAATTGTTATTGTTCAGGAACTTAATACTGGAAAAGCAGGACAGAACAAAAATTTGTGGAACTTTCTGCCAACACTGATTATTCCCACTATGTGTGTGAGTGTGTCCGTGTCCATGTGCATATGTCTGAAAGAGAGAAAGAGATGAAAAAAAGTTGAACAAGTGCTGATTAGTAAATAAAAATGGTAACCATATGCATATCACGTTAATTTGCTGATATAAACTGTATCCATCAAAAAGTCATGTTGACAAAGCTTTCTGATCTCAAGTAGCTGTATAGCAGCTATCTTTTGAGAACATAAGAAAGAAAACGTGAAACAACCAGGAGAGGGAGCCATTCCCTACTCTCTGCATTCATTGATTGTTCAATCTTGTGGCTCATCACAGAACCCAAAAATATTTAAGATATACCTTACTTCTCCATTAAGAGAGTTAACAATAATCTGAACCACTTGATTTAATACTTGTATTCCAGAACCTATTTTTAAACATATTAGAACTAAGACAATCATTACAGATATTGACAAGTACAGCATTATAGTTGATGTCCTGGTAGTCCCATATCTAGACAGAAAATATCAATGCTTCTTCATGGACACAAATTATAGATAACTTATTATCTAGATGAAGAGTGACAATCACATTTCCAGTAAAAAGAACAACCTGATATGGATGGAGGGAAAAGTTTGTCCCACACAAAGGAAAAGCAACATATCTCTCGTGTGTGACAACCATTCAATTAAGAAATTTTAATTTTGCTTAAGGCTGCAATTGTGATATTAGACAATACTAAGTAAGGTAAACCAATGACCTGGTAAACCATAACACATTTTTCTTAGATTTGCATATTGTTGGTGTTACCAATGCGAGTTATCAAAGTTTATCAATTCTCATATAGCAAAACTTTTGCAGTTTCCAACGATGTACACTGCAGAATTTCTTTATCTTAGCAAGTGTATATTAAACGAGGAAAGTAGTGTACAATTCCCTCAGTTTTATGGAATTGACAAAAGAATAGTTAGCACTGAAGACAGTTTATTACACTGCTGCATTTCCCACCATATTTTCTGTGTGAAATGCTGGGAGAATCCTGATGGAAAAGATGACAGCAGGAGAAAACTTTGTGGTGCTTTTATGCCATGGTGAAGATTGAAATAGATGTCAGGGGCAGAACCATGACTATAGTTTCCACTATTTAGATTTTTTTTTTCTGTTCTATTGAACAAGGTTTTTATTCTTATCCATTTTAGGCCAGTTCCCCAGCAGCTTTGTAGAACCCGTGGATGTTCCTGTTATGAAGCAAGGAGAGAAGCTATTTGTTTGTATCAGCAACTTTACTTCCCAAGAGCCTGGCAGCTTGGCCCTGCAGAGAGGTACTGGCGATTTCCATGCATTCTTTACTTGGGCAAGAGAGCTCCTTAATGCTCTGCTCTTCTGTAAATCTCTGTCAGTCCATCAAAAGGGATTCTATTCTGTGTCCTAGTTCTGATCGTAGCAACCCAGCAGGTCTTTCTGCTTCTGTACCTTGGTAGTCTTGCTATATTTGGAACAGAAGTCTGATAATCTCTACGGTCACTAGGAGAGTTGCCATTTTCCAGCACATTTGGTCTAGTGGTTAAGACAATAAGGTAGAAATTAGGAGATCGTGAGTTCTAGTCCTGCCTTAGGCATGAAAACCAGCTGGATGACTTTGGGCCTGTCACTCTCTCTTAATCCAACCCACAGAGTTGCTGTTAGGAGGAGGAGGGAGTATTGGATTTGTTTGCTACCTTGAGGTATTTATTCCGCCATAAAAGGTGGAATAAATATAAATAAATAAATGTAATTGTTTGTCAAATGCCATTGAGAGCAATCTCTGTGACTGGCTGCTTTGAGTTGAAACCTTAAGTTGGACTGCCGGTAGTTCTTGATTTACAACCATTTAGTGACAATTTGAAGCTACAGCAGCACTAAAAAAAAAAATGACTTGCAAACACTCACACTTACAACTGTTGCAGCATCCCTCTAGTTATGTGATCAGAATTTGGTCTCTTGGCAACCAGCATGTAGTTATGACGACTGCACCATCCCAGGGTCATAAGACCATCATTTGCAACCTTTCCAGGTAGCTTCCACCAAGTAATATCCACGGAGAAAGCCAGATTTGCTTAACAACTGTGTGATTCTTTTAACTGCGATAATTTGCTAAACAACCATGGCAAAAAGGGTCAAAATCCACTCATTTAACTATCACCTTGCTTAGTAACAGAAATTCTGGTCCGAGTTGAACAGGGAACGCCTGAGCCATTTTTTGGGATGACCTCTGGCAGGAGTAGGTTGGGGGTAATCCTAGCTCTTCTTGATCCGTTGGCAGCTTTCAGTACTATCAAACATGGTATCCTTTTGGATCAGCCTCAGGAGCTGAGAGTGGTGGACAGTTTTCTATTAGTTCACCTCCTTCCTCCAGGACTTGTCCTAGTTGGTGTTGATAGGAAGTGAGAGGGCCCTCTTCGTAGAGTGCTGCAGGGCTCAGTCTCTCTGCTTCTTTTTAACATCTACATGCAGCTGCTGAATGACATCAGTTGTCACTACCAAACAAAGGATCATCAGTATGTGGATGATACCCAGCTATATCTCTCTATCCCAGGTGAAATAAACAATGTTATAGATACCCTTTCATGGTGCTTGGAGACATTGGGGGTCTGAATGGGGAACTTCCAGCTTCAGCTGAAGACTGTTATGACCGAGTGGCTGTATGTAGGAGGCTTCCCTCTGTCTGGGGGGTTATCATTTTTAGTCTTGAATGGGGTTTGCCCTACTCCAGACAGATCCAGAGCTGATACGCGGGTCCTCTTGGATTAATGACCCCTCAAGGACAAGGTGGCAGTCATGGCTAAGACGTTTTTGTACAACTTTATGTTGTGCACTAGTTATGCCCTTTCCTGGATCAAAAAGCCTTTCTTTCTGTCATTCATGCCCTGGTCATCTCACTTACAGACTACCGCAGTGCATTTTATATGGGGCTACCCTTGAAGAGTATCTGGGAAAGTAGAATGTGGAGACACAGTTTCTATAACACCTTGGCTTTGCGAAATGCACTGGGTGTCAGTTTACTTCTGGGTGCAAATCAAGCTGTTGACTGGTTGATGTAGAAATTTGATAAATAAAATAAAATGAAATGTATTCCTTATCCCTGCAGGAGACCTGGTGATTTTGGATGATTCTATAGCATCTCCTTGGCTGAAAGGCCGGAGCAGCTGGGGCACCAGCGGCTTCTTCCCATCATCCTGTGTTCGAGAACTCAGCCTCTCAGGTTTTGGATCCCGATTCCTACATGGCGCAACCCTGGAAATGCCATCCTATGCTCTGGGTCAGGCCCGAGCACTGATGAGCCTTTCAGCCCAGATGGAGGAGGAACTTGATTTCCGAGAAGGGGATGTGATTATCATTGTTGGAATTCCAGAACCTGGATGGTTTGAAGGGGAGATTCAAGGTCGCCGTGGCATCTTCCCAGAGGGATTTGTGGAGCTTTTGGGTCCCCTAAAAACCAAAAATAACCCAGATGACCCAACTTCATCAGAGATTCCAAAAATAAATGGAACAAAGGACACATATCCCCAGGAAGAGGAGAAGTTGTGGAGGGATGAAGTAGCATTGCCAGGACCTTATGGGATTGCCCTCTATCGGTTCCAAGCCCTGGAATCGACAGAACTAGACTTTGAGGTGGGGGAACGGATCCGGATTCTGGGAGTTCTGGAAGATGGCTGGCTAGAGGGAGAACTTCGAGGAAGACGTGGCATCTTTCCTCACCGGTTTGTGAGGTTGGAGGAGAACTACCTACAGCAATGGAAATCTGGATATTTGCCAAAGGGGGTGGATTCTGTTATAGCCAGTCTTCACAAAGCAGGTTCCCCTGGCATGTCAGAGGAGCCTGGATGGAGTTCAGACCATACTGAGGAAAAGACGTATCAAATTCCTTTGGATTCTTTGGACTCTGAAATAAAACAGAACCAAATACCAAATCACCAGAAGGAAGGCTGCCTTGGCTCTGTTCCTTTAGACGTGTCAGGCACTTCTTCCCTAGATTCTGATAAAACTGTAAATGGAGTTTCTTCCATACCTCATTCTCCACTTCAGGTAAAAACCCAACACTATGACCATTTGCATAAATCAGAGCCCATTCAAACCCCCAACACTTCATGGGACCATTTGAAGGGCTGCAAGCACTTAGAGCAGGATGGAGAGGCTCATAGTCTGATCCGCCACAACACTCTTTGTGAGGACTTAGTTGTTTGCATGGATGGTCAGCAGCAGAATCCTAAATCTCATTCTTCCGGCTTCAGTGGAACAACTCAGGAGAGCTTGGACATTTGGCCTACCTGGCAAGGGACTCAGAATGAACTCCCTCAAGGTGTGGCCCATGGGGAAATCTGTGGGGACCTTGATTCAAAACTGACAGAGCAGTTGGCTCAGTTTGAACAGAGCCTGACAAATCCCATAGGCCACGGTGGATGCGATACTTTTGAGCAGGATAATGTTGCTCGGCATTTTTCCATTCTGGATTTCAATTGTGAGAGAGATATTGTGTGTGGTACTGTAGAGAATACTTCACAGAGAAGAAAGGTGCTACGGCCGCCCCCTCCTCGACCTGGGGTCCCTGTCTCTGCCTCACCACATGTGCCAGTAAGGCTCAGCCCCAGCAACCCCCCTTTCTCTCAGAGTAGTCCACCTTCTATGCGGCCCTCCAGGCCAGCACCACTTCCACCTCCAGGGAGCCAAAGGAAAAGCCCAGCCACAGTTAAGCAGCAGCTGTGGAGCAGAGAGAGACAAGGGAACACTGTTGAGTCTGGAAGGACATCTCCATGTCCTTTCTTATTGAATCGAATTCAGGAATTAGAGCAAGAACTTGATTTTTACAGGAAGACTCACACAGAGCTCAGTGAAACACTGGAACAGCCACAGGATGAGGCTGGACGAGCTGAGACACTAGAGAACGTGGACCTCTGTGACTGTAAAATATCAACTCTGTGCCTGGAGCTACAGGAGCTGAAGGGTGAGTATTGTCAGTCTCGGTGAGGGTGGATAGAGAGGACAGACCCGACCACACATCTACCTTTTGTATAGGTGGAATTTAAAAAGGAGAAAAGAATATATGTAGTTCAGATTGAAATTTTGAATCCTTGATACTCTCTTGAGTTTGGCTGTTCGCTTGCAGACATTTCATTACCCAAACAGGTAACATTATATGTATGGTGAAATGTCTACAAGCAAACAACCAAACCTAGATGTCTATGGCGATTCTCAGTCATCCAGGTCGTCGTTGTCCCAAAGGTGCTTTTTTCAAGAGGCAACTGGACTTTCTGGTTTTTCTCATCCAAGAAGCCAAGAAGTTTCTTGGATGAGAAGTGAAACATCTTCAAAGAAAAAACAGAAAGTCCAGTTGCCTCTTGAAAAAAGCACCTTTGGGACAACCAAATCTAGGGAGCACCAAGGACTCCACAAAGAAAGAGGAAGTAATAGGAGACTATTCAGCCCTATTCTCTCATAACGTATTTCTGGTTTTTAAGGTGCTCAGTAATCTAAACTGCCTCTTGCTCTTCCCGGATCTTTGACTGGGGCAAGTATTTAGAAAAGATTTTTTATGTTCAATATCTCATAGCGTCTTTCTAAAAGAGGCCTCAGGCTGGGAAGAATGTGTCAGATTGGGTCTGTACAGGTATACTTGTGGGGAAAATACATTCTAGATGTCCACTTTTCTTGCTTACAACTGTAATCAGATTAAACTGTAACTTGAGCAGTGATATTGTGTAATGCATTAGTTATAAAAAAATTCCTTAGCTTTTGAACATGTGGTTTACTCACGGGCTGTTTCTGTGCAACTACCATGGTGTGACAATGTTATCACCACAGAGCCACTTAACTTGTTTCAGGTGTTAAAAATAAATATGCATGATTAATGGGGAAGCAAATTTCTTTTAGTCACCCCTTTTACTCTGATTCTGTCTGTTAACAGTGAAACCCTGCAAAAAGAATGCAAACAGGTAAAGAACATTCAAGTAGCCCTCCAAAATGAATACTGTATTTAGGCCAAATGCCCAAACAAATTCTTGTATATATCCTACAACCCAGTATGAAGCAGAATGGAATAGCAGTAGAAATAGCACTTAGACTTACAGTACATCTCCTAATGCTTTACAGCATTCTCTGGCGGGTTAAATGTCAGCATATTGCCCCCAAACAATCTGGGTCCTCATTTTACTGGCTTCAGAAGGATGGAAGACTGAGTCAACCTTGAGCTACTTAGAATCGAATTTCAGGCTGTGGGCAGAGTTAGCTTGCAATACAGTAATGCATTCTAACCAGCAGGATCAATATCAATTAACTAGAAATTGAGAGGGGTGAGGGTTGGGGAAAGAATGAAAATAATAAAGTTGCTCTGAATCTTAGAAGAATAACTAGCTGCCAATCGCCATGTGCATAAATTATAATGTGCAAATGTTTTTATTCCATTTTTATTGACTAGAAAGCTATTAGCATTTGGGAAGATGCACTTTAAAATGCCTGCTATCTTAAATCCACTGAATAAATAAGCAGTTTGGCTCATCTGAGTTCTTTGCAGAGCATCAGAAATTGTTTCTTGGTGTTTTTCTCCTCTTCCTGCTCTCTCCTCAGTAATGATTATGTAATTTTGATCATTTTTATGAGGCATGGAGACTTGAGAAAAATAGACGGGGCAAATAAAAGAATTAGTGATCATAGAAAAACAGAAAACATCTTCTTCCTGTTATCTTCTTAGAAAATCTGCTAAGAAGGTGTTTTTGTGTTTTTCTTTGAAACCTGTGAAATTAAGTTGGCTTTCTATGTAAACTGTTGTATTCTACATTAAATGTCACAGTTTTATTTTCTGAAGTTTTAATCATTCCCATGCTAATTATCAGCAACTTAGAGTGTCTATCTAGGATTTTTTAGGCTTGAGGCAATGAATTAACTGAACTCTGAGATGTGAAAAGCATTCAGGCCCAGGGTTGTATTGTTTGCTATGTATTTGGGTTTCTTGGGTGAGAATGGGTCACTGGGAAAACAGGTCTGTGGACTTAATAATGTTAAAAGGGGTGCATGTTTATCTATCAGTGTACTTTTATGAATAACTGTTGATGCGGGGTATCTTAATAGTCAAGATTATCAGCGTTTCTACTAAAAGAAGACCAGAGACAGCTAAAAATCCAGAGTTCGGCAATTCTCCAAAGCTGCGTGCTTTTTAAAAATGTATTCCCACGCCCAGAGAAGTCCTTGGGTGATATAAACACATAAACCACATGCTTGGTTTTCCTGAGCCTACGAGCCCTAAAGAGAGGTCACTTACTCCTGCCTTTAGCATTATAAAGTAGAGAAGCCGGTTTGGGCAGGGCACTGGTCCAATTCAAACTGTGGCATTCTTGTTACTCATTACCTGCCAGCAGCAGGGAGAGGCTGTCTGAACTGGCTGCCGATTGAGTACGAAGGTTACACAGCTTCTCTGTTGTAGGCAGTTAGTCAGCACCGTCTCAGGGGTGAGGTGCAGGGAAAGGGTAGTTATGAAGAATGGTGAACTTCTGAGGAAGGAAAGTGGGTGGGGTGGGATAAGAGCACACCAGGAAGAACATGAGTATTTATTCTGAGTCCAGAAATCAGATAAACTCTCCAGCACAACAGATCTGTCTGTCACAAGTCCCTAACCGTGAGTACCAAGACTACCGCTCTGGAAGGAGAGGAAAGATTTATAAGGAACATGGGCAAGATGGTGGTAGCGAAAACTGGAAGAGCAAATATAGAAACAGGGACCTGTATGGCACCATCAGACCTGTGAAGAGAGTCTGTGACCGTTTCAAAAATGGGGATAGTGGATACAGGGAAGGCAGCGTGACCCGAAACTGCAAGGACTATGTGGAGGAGGGTAAAGAATCCGTGGACCAGAGGAAGATGAATCTGTATGTGGAGCATGAGACAGGAAGCAATGGCTATCTGGAAGAAGACGGCTGCTATACAGACTTCGAAAATAACACCCAAGTGGTTCACAAGAAACCTTTTGTTTTGCGTGAGGGTGCCCAGGATGCTGATTTTAGATTCTCCAGAAATGCAGAACATTTGGATACAAACTGTTTGAAGGGAAGTTGGAATTTCAGTGACCGTCCAACAGAGGGTTGGGAAACAGGTGGCCATACCTTGGACAGGAATGATAAGAAGAAAAATGATGGGTATGTGGACTATAGCACTGACTTGAAAAACTTTGGGAAGCCAGAAAGCTTATTTATGTTGTGTGACAACATAACCCCCAACCCCCAACATTCAGGAGCAATTTCTGGGAGCTGTACCACGGATGTTATAAAACAGTCTGCTATAGAAGATCCTCCACCTTGGTCCCTGAGAAATGAGAATGGCAATCAGGAATTAGACCCTGGATGTGAAATTGCCAAATCACAGGATGTGGCAGATACCAAAAGGATTGAAACTGCAGCAGGTGGACAGGTCTGGAAGGGTGGGTGTCCCAGGACACGTGCCGGACGCTCAGACTGGAGTCTGGACTGGGAGGATGAAGCTGGAAGGGTAGGTGGCCCAGAAGCCTGGCAACGGAACAGCTGTTATCGTCGTACCGCTCCCAGCGTCCTCAGGCGCCATATTAAAGGAAGCCAAGGTAAGTTATGGGAAATCATCAAAGGATCATGGGGCAAACTACAGTTCTTTGGATGTTAACACCTTCCCCAAACAAGCAGCCCTAAAAAAAACACCTGCATTTACCACCGCATTGGAAAATGAAGAACTGCCTGTCATTCATTCATCAGCTATGTTATAGTAATTAAATAATGGTTTCTTATACTGTAAACAATAATCTTTATATCTTGGGCTTGGTTTCTTTTGTACTTTCCTGGTTGGGATAAACGGCTACAAATTAAGATGCCCAGCATTAATAGAGTAGCCTGCTAAGTTCCCTTTCTCGGTATGGACTAGCTTTCAAAAGAATATTTGAGCTCAGGACTGGATCCTGTGCAGTTCTTTGCATCTCTTTTATTGGTTTATTAAGGTGTTGAACAAAGACCCTAAAACTAGCCACCCCACCCTATCCGTGCACCTCACTGAGATACTTAGGCCATTCCTTCTCAGTTCCATCTACCTGTCAGGGCTGTGGTTGAGGGGACTAAGTAAAAACTGATCTGTATATCAAGTTTCATAAATTTCAGAGTTCTAAATCTAAGACAGGTTTATTTTATTTTATTTGGTTTGTCAATTACTTACAAGATAATAGGTATAAGTAAAAGCATAGTTATGAATACATGGATATATATAAGAAAAGAAACAATAGGACAGGGATGGTGTGGACAATTAATTTTCCCAAGGGACCACATTGAGAAAGAAGGACTGCTGTGAAGGGCGGAACTAATAAGTCTGTGAAATGTGTAGGCATACACACAGAAACCTATGTAAATTAGGGAAAGGGGGGAGAAATAGTAATCGCCTTCGAATAAAAGAAATGTAGTTGTTTTGTGTGTACTTATATACATTTAATTTCTAATTTCTTGTTGAACTCACATGGGCCAGACAGGGACAGTTTAAGGGCCAGATTGGCCCAGGGGCTGTAAAATGCCCAGGTTTGGTCTAATCAATACATATGGTAAATATTCCATAGAACCTTTTGGAAGTCTTGGGCTGTGAGATTCTTACATGTATAGAATTTAGATGCTGACCAACTCCCAGGCTATCATGGAGAAGACTCCAATTGTCATGGAGAAAATGTGTTTATGTGGTTGCTAGGAGTCCAAAACAACTTTATGGCACATAATCAATTAATCAACTTTCTAACAGTTCTGGGCAGTAAATAGAAAATTAGCACTGAAGAAATGTTAGATAAGTCATTATGTAGAACAACTACCCAGTTCATACATGAAATTTTTCCAATATTGTGTTAACTAGGATTTTTTGTTAAATTACAGCATATTAACAGAGTGTGCTAAACTACAAATACATCATATTTTAATACCGTGTAAGCCAACCAATATCTCTTTGGGCTGCAATCATATC